TCTCAGGACAAGCTGTAATTCCCCTAATTTTCCACTAGTGTTTTCTGAACCCATCCTCATGCTATTTTTAGAAATGATTCACAGTGAGTCCTAGGTACTTCTCCACCACAATGCTTAAGTGCTCAATGAGTGTGTGTGTGTGTCATAAGAATACATGAAATATTAAACCAGTGTGTAATTTGTCAGTTGCACAGATTATATTGCTTCAACACATATCTTTTAAAGGTCAGCTAAAAGGTACAGTATATGTCTTCAGTAAATCAGTACATTACACTACAATGTACTCACACAAGCAACAAGTCTTGCTTGTTTTCTTGCTTCCCAGCTTATAAAAAGACCAGGGGTCACTGGATAAAACACATCAGGTCAGATAATGTTACAGTTGCGTGTGGAACATAGCAAATTTTCTGAGCTGGCTTACTAGCTTGTGTTGGTGACATTAATTGTGCAAGACGAGGGATGAAGTTCGCTGAGCGGTTTCACGCAAAACTAAATGGCTCTACGACAAACCTGTGACAAACAGTGACTTTCTTGACTTGCAAAGTGATCTTTTTATGGCACAAAATTATTTGTCTCCACTGACTACCCTACATATTTTTTTTCTGAAATAGAGTGGTGCAGGAATGAGTCCTCAAACTTGGAAATGAGTTAGCACTTTAGCACCTCTGGTCCCCTTGTCTCGCAGCTAAAGGGCTTTGGTTAGATGCCTGAAATAAGGTCTGTGGTTAACACAAGCTTAATAGACTTTCATGTTTTGTTCAATGACATAAAATACATCAGTAAATACCCCACATGGTAATTGTGAAGCCGTTATATGTCTTCAAAAAGGTAGTTGCTATCAACTTGCTAAATGAGACTACAGGATGTCATCACGCTAAACATGGCTTTACAGCCCCGTTGCGGTGATGATAAAGTCTTGTGACCATAGTGTAGTTTCTTTTTGTCGAGGGAACCAGGGCGGTGCTAACTTCTGTGTCGGCCTCCCCCCAGAAAAAAGCATCATCCCTGCGCCACTCTTTAAGATCCCATGGGGGCCACTGGGAAGGGAGGGACTTTGCCTCTCCATAACGACCCCTGCTTTGACACACTAAACATTTTAACCTTGAGCTTGATTTGTTGAAGCAAACATACAAACATGATCGTGTCATATTGCACCTGAAAACAGGGTCAATGAAATTTGATCTCTCTTATGTGTTTCTGACAGACAGTTTCTGCTCCAGCTACACCAGCCCCTATTGTGCACCAGAGTAGACAGACAGCACAGAGCTTCCCAGCTGCAGCCCCCACTCTACAGCCACAGCTTACTGCCCAGTCCAGCCAGGAGCAGGTACTGCATGCACCTAACTGCGACAGGCCCTGGCAACAGCTTTAGTGAGACACAAAAAGCAGAGGAGACAGTTTGGAAGTCAGTCTTTGCAGCCCAATCGGAGTTTATTATTAATAGCTGTTAATGCCTATTTAACATTCAAAGTAATTACCAGGGCATTCAGTGTCAACTAAAACATGCAGACAATCTGAAAGCCCACTTTTCTAAAGGTATATGTGTGTGAGGTGGCCACAAAGTGCATCTAATGTCCCATTTTAAATTATTCTTTATGTAAGCCTACTGTATGTGTGTGTGTGCATGTGTACGTGTGTGTGTGTGTGTATGTGTGTGCGCGCGTGCATGGATAGCTTTTCATGTGCTTTATGTTTCCCTCCCATCTCCATTTAGTGCCCTCTCCAACCAGCTGCTGTCCTGCCCCAGGTACAGCCATCATTTCCTATAACGTAACTCCAGGCTACAGTACATAATACTGCACATCCCACAGAATAATTAAATCACATTGAGTCTACCTGCCCTGCAGCTTGCTTTTATTAAAGTGGAGCCTTTAGATCTGAACAACTTGTCAGTTTGTATTACAGTCGCAAAATTTATTCTCTCCAGTGACAGTGGGCAACAAATGTTTGATTTTCTCCCTCAGCTGTTATCTGCTGACCAGCCTACAACTCACCTGAGTCCTCCAGACATATCCACCAGTTTTCCACAGTCAGTGTCCAGTGCTCCTCCTCCACTCCTGCCCCTGCAGATCAGCACACAGGTGCGTTGTGGTAGCGTTAGAAACACAAGATCAAACTAAGGTAGAGACTTTGGTAGAAACATCCTTCAAATGCTAGTATAGGTTAGAAAGTTCATACATAAAGGGCCTGTGTGAATGTTTTTTCTATCGACTGGTTGTCTTTGTTCATTTTATATCATTTTCCCTTCTTTCCCAGTTTCCCTCACCATATCCTGTTACTCAAACAGGGGGCCTCATGCCCTCTCCCTTTCCCCCAGCTCCTCTGCCAAGTGCCTACAGCAGCAGTGGCCCTTCTACATCTAGCTCCCATTTCTCACCTTCGCCCCACCATCCCTCCCTTCCTCTGACCCCTCATGCTGCCTTGCCCTCTGTACCCTCTCTCGGCACCCCTCAGACACCTCTATCCACACCTCAGCGCGTGCCCAGTGTGGCGCTCCCTATTCCACTTATTGCCATGTCCTCTGCAGTGTCCCAGCAGAAGGGCAGCCCTCTCACATCTCAGACTAACCTCGGTAGCTTCCATACCACCCATCCCTTACCTTTCTCCCAGGTACAACCCACCCCATACCCCGCCCCCTACCCTGAGCAAGAATTGTCTCAGCCGCCTTTCCAGGTGAATATTTAGCTCAGTTCTCACTGTAATGGTTGGGTCATGGAAAATCTATATTACTAAGGTGGCAATGTGTCTTAATTGTGGGTATAATGCATGCAGGGCATGTGTTTGGGGATTTAGAGGTAAACAATAATTGTATTAACTGATGAATAACTCCCTAAATGTGCTTTTTTTCCAGGTACAGATGATTGCACCACAAGGTAATCTGGGAGATTTTCCCCTTTTGGCTCCGGCCCACCCAGTCTTGCCTACTCCTCTCTGGGGAAGCGGAGTTGATGCAGAAACTTCTGCAGTTAGCCGAGACTTAACTGTAGCTCCAGCAGTCCCAGCTTCGGTCCCAGCCCCAGTATCAGACCCAGCCTCAATCTCTGCTACAGCCCAAGCTGAAACTCAAGCCTCAGCACAAACTCCAGCTTCGACCTCTGTTAGCGCCCCAACTTCAGCCCCAATACAAGTTCCAACAGGAGTGCAAGCCATATCCTCAGTCCCAGTTCAAGCACCGGTCTCTGCATCGGGTCTTGCTTTTGAATCACCAAAAGGCTCATCGACTAGCTCAGATACATCCTCTGCAGCTGGTAAACCCAAACTCTCAGTCCCAGGTTTAGGCTCTGCCCCAATCCCTGTCACGTTGCCAGCCCCAGCTCCTGTCGCAGCTTCAGTCCCAGCTCCAGTTCTGCAGCCTGCTGGCATCCAGACAGCAGTCTCAGTGTCTGAGTGTGCCAGCCTGGCTACAACTCAGCAAAACCTTGAGTCGACATCTGCATCCAGCACCCTTCAACAAGAGCCCTGTGGAGAGGTAGGGATACAGCCAAAGTTTGCACATTTTTGATTGCAATATTGATCCATATGCATATGCATACTCTTACAACTTTACATTTACTGGGTGAAAACTGTCCCTGCATCAGTGATGACTATTACTCGGAAAGCATGACCACAGGCTGCCTTTCAAATTAGATTCACATCCTAGTCTAATACCTCCATACCACCTTTAAACCAGCCTCTGCATTCAGAAGTAAAACTAGAAAAGTGCAGTCTGTAGAATGCAGATCTCCGCTGGACTGATGCCTGAGCTGATTGCCACCACTTAATTCTTGTAATTTCAGCAAACGCACCGCAGCGCGTGTCAGAAGCATCCCAGAGCCAAAAAAAATACACACCATATGCTGTGCATTGCAGAGCAGGTCGAGTTTTCCTGCCAACAGCCCCTGCATGTGAAATATAGATACAGTATAATTACAAGGGAGGAATGTATTTTTAGTAACTGAAACCCAGCCACAAATCTTTGATCCACATCATTCAGAACTGGGCTTTAACAGTATTAACTTTGTCTGTCAGGTTCAGCACAACAAAGTAGCAAATAACAACAATAAACAATGAAAACAGATGAAAAAGAAACAATTAAACTGCATAGCCTGCTGACTTACATAGGGTTGAAGCACAAATATCAAGGAAAAATGACCAAATCAACAAAATCGGCAAGTCTACAACACTGGGCAGGCAAATCACTCTTGTTCCAGGTGCAGCCAGTTAAATTGGCTCCCTTACAATCAAGATGGCGGTGACGATAACTAACCAGTGACTAATTCATCCCGTATTATACCTAACATTAGTGGATCATAACATATTGGGTATAGCATCTGTAGATGCTTCAGTTCAAAATTAGACTCGACAAAGGCTAAAATGTGGTCTGCACCAGATGGTGAGGCTTGTTGATATTAGCTGAGCCAATTTCTTGAATATTTGCAGCCCCTACCAGTCTGTTAAGAGGAGTGAGGATTTAACAGTCAATGAGGTACAACAGTCAATATAACATCTTTTTCAACAATTGACCTTTTGCTAAGCCCCGCCCCTTTGTGATGGTCCGACAAGCTGTAACAGTAGTAACCATGGAGCCCACACTGTAACTAGCTGCACTCCCTGAAGAGATATTATCATATTTTTGGAAAACTGAAACAGTGATTCCAGAGAGAAGCAGACAGAGGGGTCTACAGTCTGTGTTTGAAGGATATATCCAGGATGTCAAACTGACTCAGCAGCAACAACAGGTTAAAAAGACAAAGATAGTTAGAAGCTAAAGCTGAACTATAGGCTACAGATCACAGTGTAAAAGTGAACCACCACATCACTGCTGATCGCCACAGAAGACAATGAATATAAAGGGAAACTTCACTGATATTGAACCAGCTGTGTGGCATCACAGAGTGTGCAGATGAACAGTGTTTGGCTTCACCCCCGTGCCGCTGCCAGCACTCGGACCTCCGCCTCTGGACAGGCAGGGATCTCTGGGGGAAGTCAAACAACATTCATCTGCACACACTGCGATGAAACACAGCTGGTTGAATATCAGCAAAGTTTCCCTGCTTCCCTTCACTGCTTCCTGTACAGCAGGGTCGGTCTTTATTCAGTGTTATAGTCATTAAAAAGCAAAAGCAGCATGTGTATACATTCAGCAGGCTATATCTTCAGTAGCTAGCTAGCTAACCCTACACTTTTCAGGGTTTGGTTTTGGTTTTGGAACAGGGAAGAAACGTGTATCTTTTTCCAACCTCTCCAGGTAACGAGTATCATTAATACACGACGTGCCCCAGGCGCAACATTTAGCTCCAAATCCACAAAACCCGCCTGAAAATGAAGGAAAGCTGAAACAATTGCATTAGAGTCAATGGAGCACAGCTGTGTTGTTGTCAGACCCTGGTCTGAGCTGGCCCAATGCTACGTTATGATTGGCCAGTCTGCGTCTGGGGGCGAGACTTAGTGAAGAGTCAATTATGAAGCGCCGCAGGTCCTGGAGCATACACAATGTATGCACATATATGTGTGCATACATGTGCATACTAAATATGAGGGTGATTGGTCCAGTAGTTTGCGGTATTAACAGCATACACACAGATACACATACTCACAAACACAGGCTTATGCCTGGTGGGGATAATAACCCTTTATGGTCAAAAGCAAAAAGCACACACTGGCATTACTGGTAGTGCTTCATATTCTTGCAATGATCCCTCTGTATGAAATAAAACCTCTGCCAACTTCTACTGTTTTGCAACTGCTCATTTTTCTGTCTTCAGGATGTGCTTCAAGACAAACCTGTATCTTTACGCAGTTACACCTATGACAGGTGTGTGTCAAGTTTTTCACTGTCTTTCAGCTCTTTACAGATTCTGTTATAATTTTGTTTGTTGAAAATATGTCACCAACCATATTTTCAACTTTTCCTTTTTAGTCTCAACTCTGATGTGGCATCTGGTAAGGAAACAAGTGACGGCTATGACAGCTTGGCTAGTGGAGGCAAGGGGGACGGAAAACCCAGGAAACACCACCGCAAGTCTGCTCGCACACGCTCCCGACAAGAAAAGACCAGCAAACCCAAACTGAGCATGCTCAATGTGAGTCATGGTGCAATTTATGACAATTTGAAGTTACATACTTGCATAAAGTGTCAGTGTGTCTGATTGTAAAGTGTAACTTGTGCCCGCTCAGGTTTGCAACACTGGTGATAAAATGGTCGAATGCCAGCTGGAGACTCACAACCACAAAATGGTGACATTTAAATTTGATCTGGATGGAGATGCTCCGGAGGAGATTGCCACTTACATGGTCAGCTGAACCTTTTACAGTTTGCAGTTCTGTGTCATTTATTGGTTATATTTGACACTGTTAACGTCTTTAATGCTGTGTGCCTGCAGGTAGAGAATGGGTTCATCCTTCTGCTAGAGAAGGAGATCTTCATTGACCAGCTGAAGGACATTGTGGACAAAGCTGAAGACATGCTGAACGAAGACATGGAGGGTGAACAGGCCACTGCCTTGAGTTGCAGTCCTGAACAAGGCCAGATTTCCGAAGGACTGGTTGGAGAGGTAAGAGAGGGGTAGATTTGAATATAGTATAATTCTTTTAAAGCCTTACATTGACCTGCACCTCCTTATTTATCTGAGCTACTTCAACCATTTCCACTGACACGGCCTCTTTGCTCTCTTAATTCTGGTCTTCTTGTCATTGCTTCAACCAACAAAAAATCAGTTGACCTCAGAGAGCTTACTTTAGGGTTCAGAATTTAGACAGGTTCATCACCCTTTTAGACCTGTGGATGTTTGTTCTTTGGCTGTTTTAATTCTTATTATTTATTTATTCTATTTTAACATTCACTTTAACATTGATGTTTTTAATATGGTTGTTTTATTTAATTTTTTATTATTTATTATATTCAATCATAGCCTTTAGAATTTATGTTTTTAATATGGTTGTTTTATTTAATTTTTTATTATTTATTATATTCAATCATACCCTTTAGAATTTATGTTTTTAATATGGTTGTTTTATTTGATTTTTTTTATTATTAATTATTTTCAAACATCCTCTTTAACATTTATGTTTTTAATGTGGTTGATTTCTATTATTTTTTATTAATAATTATATTCAAAGATCCCCTTTAATGTTGATGTTTTAAAAATGGTTGTTTTATTTTAATTTTTTATTATTCATTATATTTAAACATTTCCCTTAACATTGACATTTTAATGTGGTTGTTCTATTTAAATTTTATTATTCATTATATGCAAACATCCATTTTAAAACTGATGTTTTTACAATGGTTGTTTTATTTTAATTTGTACTATTTCGTTATTTAAACATCCTTTTTAACACTGATGTTTCCAATATGGTTGTTTTAATTTTTATTTTTCTATTTGTCTGCTGTGTGTTTTATTCTATTGTAAATTATTTAGGACCATCATGAGATTCTCCACTTTGAAGGACTAGTGTGCAGGATTTAGTGTCATAAAAGAAGTAGGATAGATGAGAGAGAATAGATAGAATAGAGGCCTCTAAATCCTCCACACTCGACCTTGAAATGAAATTGATTGATTGATAGATTTAGACATTGACAGAGACTTTGCTCACATTTTATTATCGCTCTGCAGAGTCAGCAGCCTGGAGCATCTCAGCCTGTCTATCAGCAAAATGGTAAAACAATGATCTTTTAGAAAAAAATGTATCCATCAACATCATGTATGCCTCCTTTTTGCATATGTCGTATTCACTTGTTGGAAAATGGGTAGTAATTGTCTGAACTCTCGGGTTGCAGTTCTTCACACAGGAAAGAGATGGTTCATAATCTGCCCTGTAGAGGAGACGCCCACATCCAGTCAGGAGATGCCATCTGATGGCACAGCAACACAGTCTCCTGGGAGCTCAGCCACTACTCAGCCTGCTGACACTGGGACTGCAAGGCCGTCTACATCCAGAGGTGACTTTGTTTCTACAGAGCAGTTTCAGCACAAAATTTGACAGTTGCGTGGTAAAAGAGCGCTACCTTGTGGCAGCTGAGTAAAAGACATCCTACAGCTCGTGCAATGATGAAAGTTAAAAATAAAAGTTGGTATATTTTGATATTTTAAAAAGAATTCTCTCATCTTCATTTTTGTTCCTCCTGCAGAAGAGGGGTCGTCCTCCACAATGTCCGGTGGAAGTGGAGGCTTCACCTATGATGTGTATGGATTCTGTAGCCCCCCAATAATGTCCAACACAGACCCTCTCCTCTTAGCTACTCTGTCTCCGCCTGTGTCTGCTCCCCCAACCCTTCAGTCAGTGACATCAGTGGAGCCTGCGGGCGGCTCGGTGCAGCCCAGCGTTCATCAGGCCCAGCCAGCCAGAGCTCAAACTTTGCCCCCATCATCCCCGCATACATCTTTCCCAGTGGATGAGTCACGGGGATCCCCGTTGGGCTCCATCTCCCCAATTGATTCAGCTCAGCAGATGCCAGACGTGTCTGTGGCTGACGAGGTGCCCTGCTGCCCTCTGGTCATGCCCTTGTCTCTGGATGTGAGCGGCTTACAGAGTGGGTCTCCTCTCACTCCTCTTCCTCTCCAGGAACCAGGCTCAGCCAAAGAGCCTCTGTCTGTCTCCTATACCTCGTCAGCACGCAGCGAGCACCCACAGCAGCCTGTGGTGCTGCACCAGCCTTTTTCCAGTGTGGGCGGGACCAAAGTGTCCTCACTACCCCAGAGCCCAGCGCCATCCCAGCATGGCGCAGGGCCCGGTGAGTCAGACACTGAGGGACGGCTGGGCCGCGGGGGCTTTGTGGACAGCACCATAAAAACACTGGATGAGAAACTGAGGAACTTGCTCTACCAGGAATATGCTCCCATGTATCCATCAGGCAGTGCTGCGGAGACGCCAGGCTCCGGCACCGAGTACATCCAGTCTCCTCCTGGTCCAGACAGCGCCACAGGAGGGTCAGGAAACAGCACTCCAGGGCCCATGGGGGAGGGACGCTACAGGGCAGGGGAACAGCTGGTATGTACAATAATCATAACTTCTTAAACTATATAAATCACTTAAATAAATTACAGGTGCAGTACAGTCACATACAGTTTAAATTAGAGTTGTTGGCTTAAAAATTGAGCTCTTGACCTTTAAAACATCAGTTGGCAAAATAATTTCACTTCATCATTCAGCTTCTAAAAGATTGTGTGATATGATCGAGAGCTACAGAACAACAACTAAATGGACTTTTTTAGTTTGATTGATTTGTTCATATTTGTGTATGGAATAAAATTTTGTGGATTATGTATATTTTAATTAATTTAGATGAAAAAATGGGCATGCTTTATTTTTGTTTTTATGGACATTACAGGTGCAAACAAACCTTTTACTGCATTAAAAAATGTTAATAATTCAGATTTTAGTTTAAGTGCTAAAGGCCTGTCAATCAAATTAGAAGCTGCGGAATGAACATATCTTGGCATACGTTACAACTAATATATATATATATATATTAACTACTAATTACTAATATGCTCCTCAATATTCCTCTAAAATGTGTGAGTATAAAGTTTTCACACATTATTTTCACACACAGCCAGTAAATGCTCTGGTTTTAAATATGTTGTTTGATAAATGCCAGAAACAGTCCATATTTAATTAACTATACTGTCAGCCAAATTTCATGAGGAATATTTCAGTCAGGACCACTTTAGTCAAAGAAAACTTTATTTCCATTTATATTTTGATATTTGGCGGTTCTGGGACCTCTCTGCTCTTCCACGAGCATACATGGAAAGAAGAAGGTGGAGTGGGCACACCTCTCTGCACTCCCCGCACCTGTGTGGAAAATGGATTTTGCATTAACGTGCTTCACAAAGATAGACATATGTTTACACATACAGATGCATTAATGAGTAAAACAAGATTAGAATAAAACATGTTTAAACCCGGGGAATCAGATAAAAGTAAAAAAAACAGCAACAATTGTATTACACAATTAAAGCCAGAGAATTAAAATGGGTCTTTAGCTGCATCTTAAAAGCATCATCTAAATATCATCTCTATATTAACAGTTTGTATAATGATAAAGTGATAAAAGGTTTTGTATTGTAGTTTTCTAATAGCTCTGTTTTGTTCATATCTCATCATGTCACTTCTGTCAGCCTCAAATTCCAGAGAGAATGGACAGTTTGAGCACACTGAGTGACTCAGCTGTGTGTGGTACGTGCAGCAGACACTAATCAATCTATCAAAATTGGCATCATTCACTTCTATCTAAATTCATGGTTTATGTTTGTTGACTACTGCAGTGTCACTGTGTTCATTGTTGTGTACATGTTTGCAGCATCCCTGTCAAGAAGGCACGTTCCTAACTCTGCTTCCTGCTCTGGAACAAGAGGCAGATTTAAGGTACGAGAGGGAGATTGCCTCACATTTAAGGGGAAAGTAGAATTGTCTTTCATATTATTCAACTGCATTTGCTGTTACAGAGGCATTGCATGATGTTGTGATGATTTTTGCTTTTGGCAGATAATCTCTGTCCCTCCTGAAGTGGCCAACAGACGAGATGTGAAGCAGAGGAGCTGGAGCAGCGCTGCCTCACCAGCACACCCTACAGGATACAGTGAGGACCACATCCAGGCTGAGACCATGACTGCCTCCACCACAATTGGTCGTTTCTCTGTGGTTAGCACCGAAGATGACATTACACAGAGGACACGTTGCAGCCGCTACTCCGCCCCACCTGATTTCTACCTGGACACACCTCCGTCCATGGCCAAGCGAGGCTCTCTGCCTCGTGCCAATACATCAAACTCTGTCTCTGTGGATGTCACTGTCCACGCTCGTTTCCTCTCCTCAGACTCGGGTGCTGAGAGCAGTCCTGCGAAGCTGACTCCTGCCACCCCGTCTCAACATACTCGCTCCGAGCGCAGAGGAAGTGACCTCATGAAGAGGGCAGTGGCCTTCCTCCGTCGTTCAGGGCGCAGCAGCAGCGTGCAGAGCTCTGACTCACCAAGCAGGCATGGAGGCGTGCATGGCTCGGCCTATGCCAGCAGTGATAATGACTCAGAGATGGAGGACTCGGACATGAAGAAGGAGCTACAGAGACTGAGGGAGAAGTAAGTATAGCAAGTGGTTTGCTCTTGGCCTTATAAAGTGTTTTCACATTAATTTAGTCATTTAGCTGGTAAGTGACCAGTAATTTCTTTACCTCCATCCCCTCAGACATTTGAGGGAGATCTCTGAGCTGCAGGCCCATCAGCGGGGGGAGGTGGAGCTGCTGTATCGCCGGCTTGGCAAAGCCCCTCCTTCTGGCCTGGGTCTCTCACATGTTGCACCACATGCCGGCCGTAGGAAGAGGTCCGGCAAGCACAGACTGAAGCCTGGCAAACTCCTCAGCCCTCTGGTTCAACAGTTTAGAAATGTCACAACTAAAACTAGTGACTCCAGCAAATCCAGTGAGTGTCTTTTCAGAATTTCCAGTATCATGGTTTAAATATTGATCTGATCCGATGCTGTTATGTGTCCAGGTACTGCTGCAGGTACAGGTGAGCCCACAGTGAGTTTAAACGGCTCTCCAGCCAAAAGGCCTTTCCCCACTCACGGCAGGGCACGCTCGTGCACCAGCCACCTTCCCAGCTCGACCACAGAGCCCGTGCAGACTCAGCAGCCCTGCTCCCTCAAGGGCTCTTTGTCTTCTGATAATATTTATGCTGGATTACACGGAGACGGCACCAGCACACACGCTCCACCCGGACAAGGTGACCACCAGCAACACAACAGAAAATCATCACACAACGGTCTTTCCACTAATACTCAACTGTAAACATGTAGATTCACCAGAGACTTAATAACAAACACATGTCTGTGGTGTTTTGGTTAACAAGGCATTTCACTGTGCGCTCTTCTTACCCTGGTGTCTTCTTCCCTCTTTGATTATGCTCCTCTACAGGCTGGTCTAATTACCCTCAAACGTCTGAGAGAGTGACCTATAAATCGAGTAGCAAGCCTCGAGCTAGATTTCTCAGTGGGCCTGTGTCTTTGTCTATCTGTTTGTATCTCTTCTCTTCCTGCATAGCTTCATTTTTTTCGTTTTCCATTATTATTATTATCTGTTTCTCTACTTCCAGCTCACTGATATCTTTCTTTTCTGTCTTTGCCAAATATTCTCCAACACCGCTGGGTTTTCTTTCGCTTCGCCTCGTCCTTATCACTTGCCTTTATCTTGTAGTTTTGCCTGCACAGAAATATGTTGCTTATTCAAACCCCTTAAGAGTAAAATTTAATTAAAAGTAAAGTGAAGATTTTGATTGATTAAACTTATTTTAATATAATAATAATGTATACTCATTCTTGAGGTTTGGATAATCAAGGTTCATTTTAACAGTAATTGGCATTATGTCACATTTCAAGTGTCTCCGACAGTACTGATGCTTGTGTTATTTATTCACCATATAACGTACACATTTTTGTAACTTGCATTACTAGGCAATGGACTTCTGCATGCCACATGCACCCCAATCTGCTCTAACATTTCTAATTTCTCATTTCTTTCTAACCTTCTTGTCTCTGTCTCTCTAACACTCCTACACTGCACTTCGATATGGCTATCACCTGGACCACTTGCATGATTTTGCTAATAAATGGACCGTCTTGTTTCAGGGGATTGATTGCTTTGTTTGTTAGTTTGGTCCTTTGTTTTGTGGCAGTATTCATCAGCTTTGTTTTGCATTGCATCCTGTTACTGAACATTATAACCAACCGATGGGAGTGAACATCTGTATAAAGTCTTTTTTGTCTTACAGGGACAACACTGAAGCGCCTGTGTCTTGGCAAAGAGCGTAGCAGCAGTACGTAGAATTATCTCACCTATAACTCATTCAGAGACTTGTTAGTTTATATCAGTTTAAGCTAGGGGTGTCAAACATATGGCCTGTGGGCCAGAACTGGCCACCAAAGGGCTTAATCTGGCCCAATGGATGACTTTGCACACCTAATATTGATGCAGTCTAAGAGGTTACAGGTTTCAGGAACAGTGAGTAGCCTGCTTCATGTGAACTACTGCTTTCCAACCCTGATTGGAATTCAGTTCTCTGAAGGTGCTTTCACACCTGCCCTGTTTGGTTCGGCTCAATTGAACCTATCATTTGCCCCCTAAGTGCGGTTCGTTTGGGCAGGTGTAAACACTGCAATCACACTCGGGTGCCCACCAAAACAACCGGACTGAGACTTTCTTGAAGAGGTGGTCTCGGTCCTGTTACAGACAAACTCTGTTGCGGTTTGTTTGTGGTGAGAACGTGTTCCGACCGTGATCCGAACCAACTGCAGTCACATTACGCATTGTTTGAGTTAAACATGCGCATGTTACAGTCCTGGAGGATTATTAATGTGCACCTCCTCCTGTACTGCCTTAATATGCACATTCAGCACATCCAGTGCATCAAAACATTGTTTTATAGATGGAGCCACGCCTCGTTTTCAAACTGAATGGTTTGACTAAAATGAACAATGACAGCAATATAGTCCACGATGAGCAGCACTAAAATCAACCTGCGTAGTTGTCCCTCCATTGTGACATTAGAAAGTGTCACATTAATCTTAACAACTGTACTCCTCTTCAACGTTTTGTTTACTTCCTGGATTTTTCCCACATAAAATTCTGACCAATCAAGAGCAGCTTTCTTGCAAAGACATTTAATCTGGTTTTAACTGTAAATGCTGCCACGAGAACACAAACCAATGCAGTTATGCAACTTTGTAACAAAATGAGTCCCTGATTCAGACCAAAGTGAGCGAACTCAATGGATACTTATTGTGGTCATATTTAAAGAAACTGCTGAAACATTGTGCAAAATAATGTTAATCAGCAGCTTCAGTTAAAAACAAATCTGTATTAGACCTTTATCTTAAAATAATTGATGGTAAGAAGTAGACTGACTAAAAAAACTGAGACATATTGTTGATATATCACTTATTTTTCTTAAGAAATCTCAGACTGTTCATCATCTGTAATTGGATGAACATTTTTAGAGAGTGCTTGTTTGTCTTTATACTAAAAGAAAGGGAAAAAAATTGAGGTGTTATTATGCAGTGGTTTTACTGGTCGGGCCCATTTGAGAACAAAACAGGCTGTATGTGGCCCATACACTGGAATGTGTTTGACACCCCTGATCTAATCAGCTTGATAATATGATCTCATGGTATGTGTGTATCCTCAGGGTCTGGAGCTGGGCCAGGGGCTTTCAATCAACCACAGCAGCAGCCTCCCGGTGCCACACCTCCTTCTCATCAGCCGGTGATGGGACTGGCCCAAGCTCAGGCCAATAACAGCAACAACAAGACAGGCACATACACTGGCTCATCCATGAGTGCCAATGAAAACAACCTGCCTGAGGACTTGCAGCGGCTGATGGAGGACTGGGCCCAGGAGGTTCTTATCGTCAGCCACAGGCCGCGCACCAACTCTCTGAGCATCAGTGGGCAGCAGCTTTGGAATCAGGTCGTGCCTGAAACACGTGGACAGCTGGCTAGTGCTTCAGATGTGAGTGTCATGGTAGTTGTGTTTCAGTTTGTGTTCAACCAGCCCTGCAGTCATAAAAAATAATGTGAATTAAATCTTATTCTTAGAATTGAATTCATAAATGAGGTACAGTGGAAGTCGTGCATATACCCACAGTGTTAAGATAATTAGGCCTGAAATGGAGAACAATATGCATTCACAAAGCTTTTTGATTTTCCTACAATTAGGCAAGATTACACTAAAAAAAGACTACACACGTGACTTAAATGCTTAAAGATGCATATATCCTGTCAGGTGACAGCAGTCAGCAGAAATACAGTGCAGTTAAATATTACTCTGCTAGTGGTTGCATTCCCATCTACTGATTGTACTTTACTTCATACGTACATAACACATGGCACCAACATTGCACCCTCCCTGATTACAGATATTCACACATGACAGTTAGTTAGTTAGTTAGTTAGTTAGTTAGTTAGTCAGGTTCATTGGTAAATAGGCAGGTGGGTTGGTAGTTAGTTTGTTCATTCGTTGGTTGGTTAGTCAGGTAGGTCAATAGTTAGGTAGGTAGGTAGGTAGGTTTGTAGGTAGGTAGGTAGGTTTGTAGGTAGGCAGGTAAGCTGGTAGGTTGGTTGGTAGGCTGGTAGGTAATTAGGTAGGTAGGTAGATAGGTAGGTAGGCAGGCAGGTAAGCTGGTAGGTTGGTTGGTAGGCTGGTAGGTAATTAGGTAGTTAGGGAGGTAGGTAGGTAGATTGGTTGGTTGGTTGGTTGGTTGGTTGATAGGTGGCTCAGTGGGTTGGTAGATAGGTAGAGTAGTTAGGTAGGTCAGTATTTAGTTAGTTAGTTCATTCATTCGTTCGTTTGTTCGTTAGTCAGGTAGGTAGGTAGATAGTACAGTGGGTAGGTTGTTAGGTAGATAGACAGGCAGGTTAGTACATAGTCAGGTAAGCTGGTAGGTTGGTTGGTAGGAAGGTAGGCTGGTAGGTAAGTAGGTAGTTAGGGAGGCTCAGTAGGCTGATAGATAGGTAGAGTAGTTAGGTAGGTAGGTTAGTTAGTTAGTTAGTTAGGCAGGCAGGCAGGCAGGTTGTTCGGTAAGAAGGTAGTTAGTTAGTTAGTTAGTTAGTTAGTTAGTTAGTTAGTTAGGCCATAAGTAGGTGGGTAGGTTGGTCAGTAGGCTGGTAATTAGTTGGTTCGTCAGTTAGTTAGTTGGTTGGGTAGGTAGGTAGGTAGGTAGGTTGCTTGCTTGGTTTATTAACTTAAATATCAAAATGCAAACAGCGTCACTCATTATTGAGAAGCAGTTTTCTCACATGATTGTGTCGTATAAATGCAGTTAATCATTATTGTGAAGTTCAACATCTGCTCATTATCTAACCCTGTTAGGTGTCATGGACAGTTCCAGGTCCAGAAGCCTGCAATCGTCCCCTGTCATGGCCTGATAGCCCCGGGTCAACAGTGATGACCAGCCCCTCCACGGGGCCCCGGCCCAGTTATCAGCTCCACTCTTCTGCTCCATCCAGGGCCTTGCCCTCTCCTCTCTCTGTCAGCCAGTGGCCTGGGTTGCTCTCCCCCCTTCCTTCAGGAGTCTTTGCCTTTCCTGCTGTGCCCTCAGCCCAGGACGCCCCCAGCCCCATTCTAGCCCCATCATATCAGCCGTCCGACCCCAAAGCCAGGACTCTCTAACCTGAGTAGCATTGTGTCTTCCAACTCCGTTACCAAAAAGAGATCACATTATAGTTCTAGTCAATCTTATGTGCATATTCTGTATATATTTAACCAGCATGTATTTAATCATATGTACATACTCGTCTCCAGTCCTCAGTTTTATGTTGTTTGTTTAATTTGCATCAACATACCTCATGTCCATATTACGGTACATAATCCTTGAGTGCAGTGTAATGGTAGTAGTACATTAAAAGATGTATAATTAGCCCAATCAAGCTTAAAGGAGCAGATTTTAGTCATTGCTTATAAAAGCACCTTACCACTCATTGAATGTACATAATGTACTCTTCATTCATTGTACGTTTATATAAATAGTTCATGTTTGTGTTGCTCATATCACCCCTATATATAAGCTGCCGTGTGTATATATGAATTCTTGTTAGTCTGTACATAGCTCCCGTGTTTGTACAGTTAACACTAGGTAATCCATTGGTCGGTGCTGCAGATATGTGTCTTATTGCAACACCTTATTAGCCACCGTCATGCCGTCACTGTGAAGACTTGACATCCTGGTCACTAGGACCGGTTGCTTTACTCTGCTCTCTCAGTCCAAGGATAGGTTTCATTCTTCATCGATGAAATGCTTCCAGCACAAGCGCTTGAAATATCCTTAAGAGATTTGAATGAACTTGAATTTTATCTTCAGGTGGGAAAAACACCTGTGAGAGTGCCTTGAATTGCAGTTTCAGTTTTATGAAGAAAAGCATTTAGATTCAAAGCAGACACTAGATATTCTATATATGCTTTCACCTTCAAAGGTAAATTATGTGATTTGAATAATAAATGTAGATTGACACATGCTTAATTTAGCAACAAAAACATAATTAAACACTATAATCTGGTCATGTTGCAGTTCATAAAATATCACAGATTGTAAAACAGAATCTTGTACACTGAAGTCGTTTTCTTGTGGGATTGCTCTACCACCTGCACCACCGCCTGCATGAATACACTGATATTCTGAATGTGCACAGGTTGATGTGGTGAGCTTCAGGAGGATGTTGTTAAGAGAAATTGGCACTGAAGCCCTACGACAAGGAGGGCTGAAGGACTCAACACGAGTCAAAATCATAATCATACCATACCTCTACTAATGCAGTCTGTAGCTTTACATATTGTTGCCTTTGTGGTTTTTAAGAGATTACTGTGTGGGTGGTTAATTGTTTGATAAATGTTGATGATACGATGATGTTAGAGGCACACAAAGAATGTAAATTATTGAGAAGCCACAACTGTTTGACATGTTATTTGTACAATGCATAAGTTTTCTAAATTATGTTTATTCAGTGCTGGCCTCACGGAATCATCTGGCTCATACAGCTAATTGTGTGTATTATGGCTGACTTAATTCAAAGATTTTCGTAAAGTACTACGCTATCATGCCATCAGTTTTCTCAATAGTGCGGCCTCCAAAACAACACTTTCACTTTCAATACTTCTCTTGTATAACTTTTATTAGCAAATATCCTGAGGTGACGTTTGTTAAATGCATCAATGTTCTGATGTATTGTGGTAAAGAAGAGCAGGGGCAAAAATATATGTAGTCAAGAAGTACGTTGGGTGTGATGATTCAGACAGAGTATGAGTCAAGTTCCAGAAATGCTGAAACCTACATTTCCCATGATGCAACTTAATAGAATTTCTGACATCATCAGGGTTATTTATCAAACTTTGGAAAGTTGTTCCAGAGCTACAGAAGATGTTACACACCCTTGTGTTGAGTAAACAGAACCTAATGTAGAAAACTGGGGAGTGCTGCTTTAAAAAAAACTGACATGTTTGCACAGTGTGATGATAATCTAACTAAAAAAGAAGGAGCCTCTGTTTGTCTATATGTCTGTCCTTTGATTTTCTCGATAACTGCTCATCAGATCGACTTCCCACTTGGCAGGTCTATTGCAGAGAACCCAAGTTTGAGCTCTTGAGATCTATGGGACATATTTATTAGTAGTGCATACACACTTGGTGCTTCTCAAAGTCAAGGATGCTTCCTTGGTAGGGCAGGTCCTTTCAAGTTGGGTCCTACAGAGGCAAGGCAAGAATCGTGACTAGCATTCAGTGAAAACACATCGGAACAGGCTAGCAAGTGCCCAGGTGTGCGTCATTGAAGAGACCCTCCCTTCAATTCTGGCATATTGTGCGCAAAGAATTCAAGGATACACACATGCATTCTTGAAAATTCTCTGAAGGAAGGACTTGGTCCTTGGTAGAATTCGAAGGATCCTTGACATTGGAACAGTCCCTCAGTGGGATTCGATGACGTAGTCTCGTTAACATTCAGCAATTTAAGGATCCTTCCTTGACTTTAAGGAGCACCAGCTGTGTAGTGTATTGAGAAGCCCTCAGGAACAGCGCCAGGCTTTGAGACAATTTTACATAGTAGCCACATGTGGAATTACAACTTCTGGGTTTGTCAGGTGATGCCACGGGGCCCGAAAGACTTCTTCCCATAGACTTATATTGTGAAAGAGACGTCTGTAAATCAGTGGTTACATTTGTTTTGAGCATCACAACCCCTGCAAATGACTCATGTCACTATCACAATTTGATCCATTTGGTCTGATAACATTGGGAAAGTCTAGAGGAGGTGCATGATTGAATAATTTTATCCCCATTCAAGTTAGAGAAGGGCGGGAAGTTAACCTCTTGGCTGAGCTTGGTCACTGTAAGTCCCTAGTGTGCTTGCTCTATGGGTCCTATAATGCACAAGACTCGGGTAATGTCATACCAAGAATACTGACCTTCTTTGGCCTCATGTGGCTCTGAGCAATTTTCATAGGAATGAATGATGCCCTGTCTCCAATAATGTATCTCGTTCTCTTTATACATTCATGGTACTGAGAGGGGACCTGTATTAGTTCTTACACCGCTGAATGGCATGCTGATAGCTAAGGTATGACCTGCCATGCTCTCCCTCTGACTGGCTAGTACTTGTTGCCTTCATTTGTTGGGTTGATTAGGTCAAGGCAAGAGGAGTGGGATTACTTAGGATTATTGTAAGAACGTAAGGATAAGCCAGTCAGAAGCAGAGTAGGGCAGGTTGTGCTTTAGCTATTGTCAGAAATGCAAATTTGGCCTGGGTAAAACTCGCTCTCTGTTGCTCACTACAGTACATTTAAGAACAGATAAAGAAAGTGAGACTGGAGGTGTTACATTATAGCAAACTCAAACATTTTAAGAATCAGTGTCATAACTTTCTTAAGTCATAACTTTGTAATGCTTTTGTTCCTGAAAATAGCCTGGTCACAAATAGCTAGCTGTTAGCAAATGACAAGTATGATCTAGCATTACTAAAGAGACGCAGCGTTGTCATGGCAGGTGTACTGTTTAGCACCAAAGAAGACACAGTGTCACGTGTGAAGTTGCTTGGATGAGCGGTTTTAGAGAAAGTTGCAAGTGGCAATACCGAAGGCCAAGCAATCGGCCCATTCTGAACAGCCAACGTTTTGAATGGGCACTGCATTAGTTTGTCTTAAAGGCAGAATTTCTCCCATGATGAGAAATATATTATTTTTGTTTTTCTTGAGAACATCTCTGATGCAGCTATTTTCTTTGCGCTTCACTCCCTGTATTTGATCTGTTTATTGCTTGCAATGAAAGCTAGGTGTATGGTTCCTTTTGCCTGCTGTATCACCTGTTTTCCCCGCCATTTCCTGACCTCGCCAGATCGGTTCTCTCTCACAGAAGCTGTACATACTTGAAGACAGAAATAATAAATTCATTTTTGCTTGACACCATACAATGTTAGTCACGTACTTGTTTCATTACATACTAAACATACTATAAAGCCAAAACGTCTCTGTGTGTCTCTTTCATTTTTCAAACCTAGGTTTGTGTTACAAGCTTTCAGTGTAACAAATTCCTCGCAGAGTGGGCAGGCTGGACACTCGATAAAAATAAAGCTCAGATAAGCACTTGAATTTCTGATAAATGTCTGCTTTTTCAACCTGTCATGGCGATTTCTGTTTGCTATGTGTGTGATTCCTGTTAATATGCAGAGAAGGACAGTAGGCGGGAACATCTTTTTGTGTGTGGGCGTGCATGCTAGTGAGTTGTTCAAACAGACGACAGAGAAAATTTGCTCTAAAAAAGAACCAAACATTACGCACACATTAATGTTTTTCTTGTCTGTCTGAGTATAAAAAGACTGTTTCAGCTGCCTGACTTCAACCAGAGTGCCATCCATCATGGAGAGATCTCTGGTGCAAATCACCCTGTTTGGGCTGCTCCTGGCTTTGGTTACCACACTACCAAACAAGGTAAGACAAAACCAAAAGGACAGACCACCACACTGCAAGACAACGGAATCTATCGAGTATATCTATTTAAGTTAGGTTACGGTAAAACTCCAGGGAAGTATAATGATAATGCAATGTTGTTTTAAGTGACAAAAACATGTTGTTGCCTGTGTGAACATGTATTATTCATGTTGTTGGGCTATAAATCTTTTTACACAGTCACACTGGGTGGACTTAACTCCCTTTTGAGCACAAAAAGCTGATCCCCATGATGTTAATCATTACATTTTAGGATGATTTCCAAAGTTCAATCAATATTTGTGAACATGAGTCACTCTCTCTCAGAGCCAGAAACCAGAGAAACAAGCCTCAACTTGTGATGTCAGAAAAGTATAAGGTCTGGAGCTGCCTCATAGACAATACATGGGAGCTTGATTTTGTGGATACACAGAATGTTTTTCTTTTTTATTCTATTGTAGTGTTTTTAGTTCTGAAACAGAAAATGTGCCCATATACTCAGAACATTCCCCTGGGTGCTCTCAGTGCCATCTAAAACATCTTTTCTTATTATCTATGGAGCAGCTCTAGACTTTATATCTTATGACATTGCAAATTTGAGTTTTAGCACTGTAGTTTTTGGATTTGGGACAGAGTTGTTCATTTTAACTAATATTTTTGGACTGTGTTAGATCCTAGAAATCACATGTATTAATTTTGAAAATGGGCGTAGTTCACCTTAAAGACTGTTGGGAGAGTGCATGACATTGAGATCATTTTGTCACACTTACACCAAAATCTGAGCAATAACCTCTATTATACATTTCAAACACGCATATAAACACTATCAGCCCACTATCTACCTGCGACCACTGATTTAAAATCACATGTTTTGTTGTTTTGCCTCTGTTGATTGTCGTATGTGAAAACAAACATCAGCGGTGGAGGAAATATCCATATCATTTACTTCAATAAAAGTACGAATACCACACTGAAAAAAAAGTGCTGCGTTAAAAACCTCAGTGAAGTAAAAGTATGTAAGTGTTATTATTAGCAAAATATACTTCAAGTAAACTAAACCCAGAGGAAGACAACAGTCTTTTTTTCTTGTAAATCAGCTTCTTTTTGGATATTACTCAATCATGGTCTGTTTATCCAAACACCCCCCTCCCCCTAAACATACACACAACCCTCCACGGGAGGAAATAAGGACCAAACAAATAAATCAGCAGGAGTTCTTATGCTGTGCTCACAGGAGTTCTCAGATGAAAGACACACACAGACTTGAGACTTGAATTTGATCATTGATGAGAGACAAATTTATACAAGGCTTTTGAGGCTTTATATGATGTAATTATTATATTATTTTTGAATCTTACTTTTATTTCAAGAAATTATTATTTCAGACAAATAAAGATAACTGCAGTGAGAGACGAGGAAGAGTATTTTAAGATCTCGAATTAGGACCAGGCATGGGACAAGATGAATATTTCTCAGGAGCTGAATTTAAAAGGTATGAGAAAATGGTCAAAATCTCATATTAATCTTAAGTGCTATATCATAGGCAACTGGACTTGCCTCTCATCCAAGAGGCTTCTTCAGTTCTTCTTCAATTCAAACTGAAGAAGAACTGAAAAAGCCTTTTGGATGAGAAGCAAGACATCTTCAATAAACTCAAGCAAGTCCAGTTGTCTGTGATATAGCACGTAAGATGACCATGACCTGGATGACTGAGAATCTTCACCAACATCTCATATTAATGTTATATTGAGCTCAGTTAAGTCTAGGAGAAATAGGCTGGACAAACAAGACATCTTATTTTGAATTTTCTTTTTCGTTGGGAAAGTACTCATTCATTGTGCAGTAAAAAAAAGTCCCTGTCAGTGGTTTAGTTTTGTTTCCGGATCAATATTACTGCTGTATTAATGTGCATGTTGCATTTTACTGCATAGATGTGTAAGGTGCTGCTAATTTGAACTATTTTATATACTGTTGGGTAGTTTAATCTACAGCAATGCACCATATTCTCTATGATCATCATATGTTTGCAGTGTCACTGTCCTGTGAGATCTATGTATCTCTAATGAATCAACTTCTCATGGTGTCAGAAAAACCAGCCCTGTTTTCAGCTTTGTGATGATGCATTTTTTTGCTGATCCAAGAGGGTCTATAAAGAGTTTAAGATGTAGAAGAATTTTCTCAGCCCATGAAAAACATGTCATCCTTTCGTTTATCACAAAAGTTCACATTCAATTTGTAGTAAGTAACTAAAGCTGTCAGACAAATGAAGTGGAGTGAAAAAAATTACAAAATTTGCTGATGAGATGTAGTACAGTAGAAGTATAATGTTGCAGAAAAAAGGAAAACTCAAGTAAAGAACAAACAAATTTGTACTTAAGTACAGAATTGAGTAAATATACTGAGTTACATTCCACCAGTGGATAAAGCAATAACAAGAATGGGGTGTTTCTGCAGTTAGAGCAATGAGATTTCACTGATGCCACCCACCTACACTTAGTTATTGACCATCAACTGATCTTTGGTCAGCTGGTCGTCAGCCAGCGACATCAACAAAGCCATTTATTTTATTGTGAAATGTGCCTCTACCTGTATTTGTCAAGGACAACTGGGACATCTACAGCTTTCACATCAACTCCACAGTGAGCAGTCGTTATGCAACCACTGTTATCACGAGCCGCGTGGCCAATCGAATGGACGAGTCAAAGGAAATAGAATTCCAGGTCCGGATTCCCAAGAACGCCTTCATCAGTAAATTCAGAATGTGTGTGAAGCAAAGATGAATATTTACCAGTATTTGCACATTAAGAATTTTAGATCTAAGAGTCATGAAAATAAATCGTTGGCCACTTAGGCGTATGCATATAAACCAAGACTTTTCCTTGATCTCCCTCAGGTTTATAGATGGCCAAGTGTACGATGGTGTTGTGAAAGGTAAAGAGAAAGCTCAGCAGCAGTACACTGAGGCTGTGTCCCGAGGCCAAAGCGCTGGGATTGTCAGGTACATGTGTCCTTCGAGATGAGGAAAGGGGAAAAGAAAACACATCATATGACCATTTTTTTCTAGCTTTTCTCAAATGAGGGGTCATGAATACACAAAAAGTAGGTATTGTTTCATTTTAAGGGGTCACCAGGAAACCAATGCTTTACTGCAATGATTATCGTCTCTCTCTTGCAGTTCTGTAGGGAGGACCCTCGAGGAATTTAAGACCTCCGTGAATGTGGCTGCTCACAAAAAGGTCACCTTTGAACTCACATATGAGGAACTGCTGAAACGCAGGCTCGGCAAGTACGAGCTGCAAATCCACGCTCAACCCATGCAGCCTGTCAAAGACTTCAAGGTGCGTTTTTCTTATTGGTATCTATTCAGGAAAACAATGCCAGGGTGAAAACGTCTTCATGGTCAGAACTTCTCTTTTATTTAACTTATTCTCATTGGCAGGTTGATGTGCATATTAATGAGCAAGCCGGCATCAATTTCATCGAGGTTAAAGGAGGACTAAGCACAAAATCTCTGGCTAATGCCATCACCAAGACACACGCAGACAAACAGGTACAGCATGCTGTGATTTAAAATTCTCTTTTCAATTTAGCTGCTTCTTATTCTGCCCAAAGTGTTTAACTACACTATGTCTCATGGAGTCATAATATCACTGGCCATACTGCATTCTGGCTTATTGCTTGTCCTTGTGCACATCTCTTTACATTGATAAATTGGTGCAACGATGATGAAGGAAAGTGATTGCACTCAACTCTGGCTATCAGAAAAAATATGTTTTATATTAAATAGCCACATTTATAATTCCATCTCACGCTCCATTCTACCCTCACTCGTGAACAAGACCCCGAGATACTTGAACTCCCTCGCTTGAGGCAATAACTCTCCCCCGACCTGGAGGGGGCAATCCACCGGTTTGTGGCAGAGGATCACGGCCTCAGGTTTGGAGGTGCTGACTCTCATCCTGATGGCTTCACACTCGGCTGCAAACCGCCCCAGTGCATGCTGGAGGTCACAGTGTGATGAAGCCATCCATGGGTATCATGGGTAGTGACAGAAAGAATGAGATTGCGGATACAAGCGTCCAAAATGAGTTTCCTCTGTGGGGTGGCTGGGCTCAGCCTTAGAGATAGGGTGAGGAGCTCTGCCATCCAGAGGGAGCTCGGAGTAGATCCGCTGCTCCTTTACGTCGAAAGGGGTCAGTTGAGGTGATTCAGGCATCTGATCAGGATGCTCTCTGGGCGCCTCCCGCTGGAGGTGTTCCGGGCACGTCCCTCTGGTGGGAGGCCCCGGGGCAGACCCAGAACATGCTGGAGGGATTACATATCTCATCTGGCCTGGGAACGCCTTGGGGTCCTCCAGGAGGAGCTGGAAAGCATTGCTTGGAAGAGGGACGTCTGGGGTGCTTTGCTTGGCCTGCTGCCCCCGCGACCCGGCCCCAGATAAGCGGATGAAAATGGGTGGATGGATTTATAAATCCACCTCAAT